TCATGAGCAATAATTTATGCTCAAAACGTTATCAAGTAAATAATACTGTATCACTGTGCGCTATATATCAAATAAACAAATCTAATATGGAATTACATTCTACCACAGTGCCCAAGTTTTACACTTATATTAATTTGAACTTTAGTTGCTTGCAGGCAATCAACTGGAAGCCCTGGACCTAGATTTCATGCTTTCAGGCACTCGTCAGCAGGGCGTATCTGCAACCTCGATGGAACTTATGTCCCGCCTGAGATTCGAATATCTCAGTGGTAAAGTCTTTGACTACAACACTGGGTGACGCGAGTTCGAGTCCCAGGCGGGACATCAGTTCCGTTGAGGTTACAGATACGCCTTGCTGACGAGTGCCAAAAAGCATGAAACCTAGGTCAGGCAGGGCTTCCTGCCGATTGCCTCCAACCAACTAACATCTACTAATGTGCACCGCAATGCTGGGCTTCCTAGCTTGGTTGCCATATTGCAAATATGATCAATAGGATTCAGTCTGTACTCAAGACTAGACAATATGAAATTGGTTGCACTCCCATGACCAATCAATACAATTCGAACCTTCTAAATGGACCGCTTATATCACGTAATCCGATGACTGTTGGAAAATTACTTCCTTCTTTCCACTTTCAAAGCAAACATTAGTAGTTTCCAAAAATGGTGAATAAAACTTTCGAATTAGAAGCTTTGAATGTATAATTAAATTACTGCATTATGAGCGAAACACCGAACTCTACTCACTCTAAGCTACATTTGGGCAGAAAATCAAGGATAGTCACCATCATGAGTATGTCTACAAGAAGATTTAATACTGCTCACACCTAGTAGGGAACTTTATGAATTAGTATCACTCTTAGTCCGGTTATTGTTAGCTTACTTTCAATTTAAACCCACTTTGGTTCAAGAAGGTGCAAAGGCATGCACGACAAAAATATGATCCATTTCATTCAGTGTAAATCCATTGGTCCCACCACAAATCAACAATGTTACGATGACACCTATTATCAGAGATCTGTAACTTTATGTAGTTTACGTCCAACGATTATAACCTGTCTTTCGAGCAAGATAGAAAAGTCTCCCATGTAATACGCCAGCCTTTTGAGATGCGCAGTCAGATGTCTCACCTACACCAATGATGGCGCAAGCTGACGACTACCCTTGAAGGTCTTCTGTCTATAAGGCGAATTCATCAATAAGCAGTTTATTGAAGCTGATACAACTAACTTAACAACTAAGTGAAGCAATGAAGACACTAAACTGTTTAACGTCGTATCCTTAGATTACTTCTAGATCGAATGATAGGATACGAAAAGTTAGTCTGGATTTCAGGAATAGTAATAAGTCGGATCCAGTCAAGTAATCAACAATGCCATCCCTTATTAATATGAGTACAGAATATTATGCATATCGAAGCAGCCTGGCGCCATCTGAAATCTGCTGTAAAAACAGCGTTGAAGACCCTAGCTGATAAAGTGGTTAGAGAGAGCAAGTGGATCTCACTAGGTTCTTCCGAATAAATGGATGCACGCAAACGCATCCCTATAGGCTACGAATACAATGAGGAGGGAATGCAACTCAAACCTAGAATGATCACAATCATTGTGAGCAGACAAACCAGTGTAAAACCTTGCACACAGGTGGATCACTTCAAGTTTCTACACTTCACAACAGCATACCAGGAACAAGTGGATCGAAAAATACTTATATCAAAGTAGATAAATGTATACAGGTGGAGAAACAATTTGAAGATAAGAGTTAGTCAAAACATCCAAGGATCAGAAGACGTCAAATAGGGAATACATCTACGCCACTGTAATCGATTTTCAGCCATTCTACTAAAAGTCCTTAACCAATGATTCTTATCGTCTCGGAGACCCCAGACAAGTAGTCTACGCCTTCATACACGGCTTATACCAATAGTCAGGGACTGATGCCACATCTTGATCTGACGACCTTTAGCCCTCTTCCAACCTAATCCAACTTCTGACACTCACGTCGAGGTGACTCGGCATGCGCAGCATGTGTTCAGACCACTTCAGTTGCTGAAGTTTCACAGCCTTATCACCCTTGCCTAGTACCCTTCTCCTAACCTCAACATTGCTCACACGGTGATTCCACCAGATGCGATCAATGATATAAAACATAAACCGTGGTGTTGCGTGTAAGACAGTTGGAAACAGAAGTATGTACCTTCCTCTTACGTTCGTATGTGTAGAAATATCTGATGAAACGGTACTTCAAAATTGGATCACCTGTATTCAGTGTGCTCTTACATACAACATATCATGTTTGCGTATACCGATACATCTACACCAAGCATGATTCGAAGTTTTCCCAACTGGTAAGTCACTGGGATAATATTACGTCATTAAATATACGTCCTACATCAACAAAAGCAACTGTTCCAGCTTCTCCACTGGCTGCCGACGTTACGATATCAAACATTGTGAAATAATATAAAAATCTGGAACACAGACGCTGAGCTGCGAAGAGCATGCACAGATGGGTCTACGGTTCACTTGGAAAGGAGACAACTGGAACGACCGTCAAAATACTTCGGAGAACAAACTGGTTAATCTGCAGTTACCATTCTGTTGCCAGCTATCCACTCGGATGCTGAACATAACATTCAGATGGGGCCTCCAACTCTTGCACAAATCAAGAAAGTCCTACGTGATCTGAAACGAGGAAGGGTAGCACGGCCAAATGGACTATTATCAAAGGTAATTGAAACTGAGTCATGGATAATAAGTTAGATTAGTGGCTTAACTAGTGTTAGCTAGTTTATGGGTGCCAGATATGATCCCCACTGACTGGTCTCGATCACTGATTGTCCGTCTTAAAGAAGGGGGTAAAATCCCCCTTTTGATAACCAAAATGTAAACGGTCTAACATGCTAAGATTCTACTTCCAGTAAATAGTAGACGCCTAACTGGAGCTCTGAAACGACGGACCTGAGGAAAATGGGCAGGTTTAAGACATGGTCGTGGGTAAACCAACCAAATATTCTCCCTCCATCAGGTTCGGCAACACAGGTACACTTCCTAACCCCCTACACCAGCTGTATTTTCCCACCTGAGGGTGGTATTCGACTCCCTCAACCAAGAAGTTGTATAGCAGTGCCTCTAACTGAAAGAGACACCGAGCACATCACTCTGCTAAAGTCCCCCGTAGGCGTGTTACAGCCTGCGGCAAGTTGATAGGTGGGTTGTGTGCGTCGGGTGATTTCCGTCAAAGATGTCCACTCTTATACAACTTTATCATACAAGTAGTTGTGGAAGTTTCTCGCGTTTTCTAACTATACAGTGATTAGTTTTACCATAAGAGGATCCTTAGTAGATCCAAAGTAATTGAAGACAGACAAAAGATAGCCTTCTGGACACCTTGAGTGGGGACTTAAGAATGCTTGGGATGAGTTTCTCATCGCCTAAATGCACACTGTTGTTCCAAGACTGGTCCAACCCATCAGGGCTGGACAGAAAAAGGTTCAATTGGCTGTCATCAACTTACGACGCCGACGCGACATATCCGATTGTCTGTTAGGGGTCGAGCGTACTGCACTGCGGTTCGCTGTGTTCTACTGTATGGCTGCGAAAGATGGACCTTAAAGGCAGAGCACATGTGAAGGTTTCTGGAGTTCGACCACCGTTGCCTTCGTAGCATCGGCTTAGTCATGTTGTCACCACGCCATCATCGTATAAGTCAGGTATAGAATCCTAGGGAGAGAAAAATCACTTGCTGAGGTACTGAAACTTCATCCGCTCAGGTGGCAGTGAAACGTGTTGTACATGCTTAGTTATCGTCTACCTCGTCGCATAGTGTTACATGAAGTAGGTTTCAGGCTGGACAGAAGTTAGAAGTGGTCAGACTAAAACATAGCATCACTTTATGATGTATCGAACAGCTGGTCTGAGTCGTGTAGAGGAATGTACACCTTCCGGCTGGAGTTCCCGTGACAATAGAAAATGATAGTTGGAGATTTTAGGTGACATGGCTTAGAACTAATCTCAGTGGCACAAGTGTATCCACAAATTATCTTCACCCCAATCACTTTACTGAGTTTTAGTACCCGCTCATTCTTCCTCTCTTGATGACATTCTAATACTTTTGACTACTTTCTTTATCTTTCAGAGTAGTACATTCCTGCTAGCTGAGCTAATATGAGGTGTTGCAACGCTATGCAATAGTGGAATTTAAGGACTTCATAGATATTACCTCCAACATGTTGACGACAGTGCAGTCCAATCACCTAATAAACACCCTACGTTGAAATAACGCAATGGATGGATTGAAGCAGGGGAACACCTAAGTACTAAAACTCTGAATCGATATTTACTTCATAACTGCCAACCTCATAATGTTGACGCCCATGGAAAATCAAAATTGAAAAAATAAGAATCAATCAATTCTGAAACGAATCATCATGCACAAGGCAACTAGACAGTACTTCGTACATAGTGTTTATTGCTTCAATAATCCTCGGGTGAACTTTAGAAACACTTTCCCGGTGAGGAAATTTTTCAGCATCTATCATTCTAATATTACACTTCTTGTATTATCTTTCTAAGAAAAACTTGGTCAGTAATGAACTTATTGACGACGTGAAAAAATTCACTAGCAAAAGCAGCATGTTACAGATTCTGCTACCAATTATGATTATATGATTCGGTAAGCGATTTGAGCCATTAGGCAAACAACACATACAGATTTATACCAATAAAATACTGAGAGAAAAAAAGACAAATAATTCAAAATTCATATTATTTATGAAATTTGGAGTATTTATACAAAGGTTTAGAGGTGATATAGACTGGTTTTTATCATGAGGATTGCTATTCACACAATAAATTTATGAAAATGCCTCAATGACTCTCCTTATCTTATGTTATCATTAACAAACAGCATTATCCGTAGAGATGATTAGTTGATAAAAATGGAAAAAGTAGTGTAAAAGAATCCATAAAACAACAATGTATATATGTTAATACTACTATTTATGGGGAGCTGCGTCGTTTGCGGGAACTGCGAAGTAAAGACTCTAACGCTCGTTTACGCAAAAGTTCTTCAACTGATTCTCGACGTTCACTTTTCTAGAAATTGATAATATAGAAAAGAGGAATTTGATTATAAACTTTAGACGAAACAAAAATTTCACTAATGGCATGTACATTCAGAACCCATTATCGAATTTATTTAAGTATATATACAACACCAAACGCTGACAGGCTACATGTAACAAAATCAAAGGATGATAGACTATAGATTAAAAAAAAACACTTCCCCGATGAAAAACAATCAACAAATTGTTGCAGAAATGCCAAGTAACCATGTTTTATTATATATGTATTCTAACGATTATTATCTGACTTATCTACTTTATGAATACTAACTACAATAACTGGTCAGTAAAGTTGTGACTAATGCGTGAAACTATAATCGCTTCATAGCTTAGTGAATTCACTTTACAAGTTTAACTGTGTGGTCATGATAAGAGTCTATTCATTTCTTGTCAGATTACTATTATACAAAGCGCACTGATAGTAAGAAAACGTCAAAGCATGATTCAAAAAAACTGTGAAATAAACGCACCATAGAGAAGTAACATCAATTTATATTTAAAATAGGATTAGTTTGAAAAAAGCCTGTGAAAACTGATTTCAAACACCCCACCCCCACAGGAATAGTTACTCTCTTTCTTGAGAAGCTAGTTAGAAGAGCAACTTCTTTAATTTTATCACTGAATGACCAACATTCATAGATCTACTACACTACTGACTATGATTATTTGTTCCTTGGGTTCCTAATGGAACATAGGGCTTCACTAGCACATAGCCAATTCCACTCTCTTCTCTCCAGTTTTTTCAACACCGCTCCACAACTGCCCACAAGCTCTCATTTCTTCTTCACACCATCTCATCCATGTCACCCTCACCTCACAAGCCCAACTCGTCGTTTCCCATCTGGGTTCCACTCCACGGCCTGACGAGTGATGTCCCCAAATGGTCTTCTCAGTGCATGCCCAATCCATCTCCACTTCCTTCCTCTGCATATTTGTTCAGCGATAGGTTCTTGCTTCATTGGTTCGTTGCCAGCCAGCCAGCCAGCCAGAGTTCCTTGTTGCTAATTCTTATTATCCTGGCCATCTGAGCTTCAGTAATGAACCAGCCAGCGTAGGCAGTTGTTGATGAATGTCTGTAGTTTGTTGGAAATCCCTTTCGTAATGCTCCAAGTCTCTCAACCATCACACAGAAGCACTGACTTGACTCAATTGGTGTTGAAAATCGGATCTTGTTCATGCCTTATGCTGAGTGCAGTGAAGTGAAGTGCAGTGCAGTGCAGAACATCTCCACACTGGTTTCAGGCTAATGAACGCCTGTCTTGCTTTTCCGATCCTGGTTGGCTTTGACGTTCTCGTCTGTGCCGCCACCACCACCGCCGCCTGTAGTTGAAACGATCCTGCCTAGATAGGTGAAAGAGGTCACTTCCTTTAAGTTTCTCCCATTGATGGTGATTGGAGCTTCTTGTTGTCGCTGTTGTTGTTGGTTGGGTTTCTTCTTCACCTCTACCTCTGTCTTCTCTATATTCACTTGAAGTCCCGTCTTCGCTGCCGTGCACTGCCTCTTCTGTGAACTTGTTAGTTTTCACCTGTACATCTTCAGGTTTGTGTGACATTAGACACAGGTCATCATTAGCGAAATCCAAATCTTCTAGGTTCTTTTCTCCGGTCCAGCCAGTGTATCCCCCTCTTCTCACAGCTCCTCACTGTTTGTCTCATGACCCAATCAGGAATATCTTGGAGGGTAGTAGACAGCCTTGTTTCACTCCTGTCTTCACTTCAAAAGCATAACTGAACTTCCCATTGTGAATTACTTGGCATGTGGCGTCTTCATATAGTTGTTGAGTGAGACTGATAAATGTTTGGATTGGGCATGCACTGAGAAGACCATTCGGGGACATCACGCGCCAGGTCAGGCACTCCAGTGGAACCCAGATGGGAAGCAATTAGTTGGGCTTCGGATGACATGGAGGAGATCGTGCCAGGAAGAAATGAGAGCTTGTGAGCAATCGTGGCGACAGGTTCAAAAGATTGCAGAGAAGAGAGTGCACTGGAGACGTACTACTGAAGCCCTACGTTCCATTAAGAACCCAAGGGATAAATGATGATGATGATGATAATAATAATAATAATAATAATAATAATAATAATAATAATAATAATAATAATATAGTTATACCATGAGTTCATAAGACTAAAATGCTTGTGTCTAAAAAATAACATGGTAGCATAAAAATACGAAAACATACACATTGAGAATCAGTAGTGAGGTTAAATATAGGCATTCTATGTTTCATCAATGTGTACTCTACTCAATTATTCCACTAGATGAAATTATAAGGTCACTCTACTACTACTGCGCGAGTAAACGATACAAAAAATACTTCAAACACTTATGATCCGGAGTTGAATATTTCAACGCTAATGGCAGTTTCATTAAGATGAATTTGAATAAACCGAGCACAGATGAGAAAATGCTAAAAATCCGGCAGAAAAACACAATAACAAAGGATAAAGGAACACTTAGGTAAGAAACTAAAGGAACATATACCTTATGTGGGTTAGAACTAGGGGCAGTAGAGGGTAAAGCTGGACCTTCTGGAGACAAATGATTTTCACGATTCCTAGTATGTTTACCATTCCTTTTAGACTTCACAGGTTTTTCACAGGTTTCATTGTCACTCTCGCTACTACTGCTACTGCTACCGGAACTACTACTACTGCTACTATCCCCACTAGAAGTTGATCCAGATTCGTCACTATTTTCATTATCACTAGATCCTGAACTCGCTGAACTCGCAGAGGTCGATTTAGCGTGGACTGGATTTTCTGACCATTCCATGGCTTGTTCCACCTCAGAGGGAAGAGCAGGACCTTCAGGCTGAGTTGGTGCCACCAGCTCTGGAGGAAGGGCAGGGCCTTCAGGGGTAGGTTCTTTATTTGCAATTTTCGCCGCTGGTTTTTCAGGCTCGTCTTCACTGTCATCGCTGCTGCTCCCACTGCTACTCGAGCTCCCACTACTGCTACTGCCGCTGCTGCTGGAGCTACTGCTACTGGTGCTTGACGAACTACTTGAAGATTCAGAAGCCTTCCGTTTCGAACGCTTATTGGAGACACCTGGAAAACAAACAAACAAAAGAAAGACTCGATACCGTATTTACAAGGAAATAGCACTAAAGCATCCAACATTATTTACTTCTAACGTAACTATGACTTCTTGGTTACATGGAATAAAAACGATAAATACTATCATCAGACCAAATATGATGAACGCATTCGTTTCACATTGACAATACCCTTTAAAGAGACGAAGTTGCCAAACAAATGAATATCGTCTGCTTGTGTGTATACATAGATCCTCTTCGTATTTATCATCCAGTAATGGTAAACACAGGAGCATCGCGTACTAAGATATTAACCATAGTTGTATTCAGGATTTTAGTAGAGATCTTTCGCGAATGTAAGTAGAAAGTCTGAAGAGTATGTGCACTTACTTAACTACTACAACTACCACCATTACCATACCGCTCTAACTACTTTGTTCTAAGGAGCAAACCCATATCAAAAGTCGTTATAAAATACATAGATTTCACAGTTTATTACAAAAACCTGGATTGCATAGATAAGATAGCATTTGTTTTAATTAGCTGATAGTCGATTTTAGTCGTGTAGGCTTTCTTCTAACTGAAATGCTCGGGAAATAATGATTGAATACTTCAATCAACTTAGTTAAAAACTTGTTACAATCGCACAGATGTAGGCAGTCAATCTCTTCCCTATATTTTTGAACAAGTTACATTTCTCACTCTATCCATCTCGTTTCTTTCTGTAAATTTCGAATTTTATTAACTTTATTTTCTTGTACTGTTGAGAACAGTAGCAGAGATTTATGTTATTGTAGCAAAATGAAATTGGTGTATCGTGCGGCAATGTAAGTGGCCAAAGTTAAAGGATGATCACACAGTCTTCGAACTGGCAGATGAACTCGTGGAACATGCATTTAATAGCCACACAAAACTGACCGGGATGACGGTCTCCAGATTCTCGACTTGTCGGTCTTTCTATATAGTATCGTAGACCCCATTTCAGCATATTTCAGAATCGAAATACTGTCAATAAATAAATTTCGAATCAAATAACATTAAGTATTTCCTAAAAAAAATTTCAATCACCCTCAAGTCAAGGCATACTTTATGTACTAATCATCGCTTAAATTTGTTAAAACTTGGTAAATGACAGAGATATAAAATGAAAACAGCTAAGTTTATCAATGTTGGTCAGACCATCGACAACAGCTACAACGCACCAAACTATTTATGAATAATCAATATAGTGATTACTTAATATTTGGTGTGGAATTACAAAACTTTGCTGCCTTTTAGAGGCATTGAAACTAGTAACACAGAGCACCTTACGTATGAATTACTTGTTTGTTTGTTTTTAATTTTTAATATGAAAGTGAAAGGAAATTACGGCAGACATTAATTTTTAACGATGTTTAGAAAATTATCTAGGTTTCCAACTGCTTCTTATTGTTCAGAGTTAAAGATAGTGTGAGATGATCATATGAGTAATGATTCTCTTCAATTTAACCCAAATTATCATCACGATCAAAAATTCTGCATACGCCTATCTATTATATCAGCAACATAATTTCAATAATTCAAAGCCTACCAGAACGATGCATGATCACTAAGGCGATTGGTCATTTTATGGTAATTCGAAAGTAGCTTGACGACGGTGAAGTCCAAGAGTTCCACCAATTAGTTTTATAGGATTTAACAAAATTCCGTTTTTTTTCGGTGACATGTTAACAAAATTAACGGATATGAACTTATCAAGAGTGAAATTCATACTGCATTAGTCAAAAATATTAACTGACCTTCGATGGGTCTCATGTCTGCAGACCTTTTGGAAACAGTTGGAGGCAAAGTAGGACCCTCAGGGCTCGGAAGACGACCTTCTTGACGCCTTACCAAAGATGAATTGCCATGTCCCAGTGAGGATGCCTCTCTTTTTTCAGTATAGTAATGCCTAGACGGAATATTATTAGTGTCGTTATCCTCTTGCAAGTGGCGTGCATGACTATGATCCTTGACAGACCGTCCAGGTTCTCTAGGGTGCACACGATTTGATCGTGGGCTTATGTTACGGTTATATGACTCCGAATCATGTCTGTGTCTACCAGAAGAACGGTAGTCGTAATGATCAACTGGATCAGGACCCTCATATCTTCTACAGTTTTCATCAAAACCATCTCTTTTAGAATGTTCCAAATAACCTGAACGTACATCCCTTTCAGTTAAATCAGCCATTGTGTGATGCCGGGGTTCCATATCATGAATCCGTCTGTGAGATCGATGGTCATCAGCGTTGTGAGATTGTGATTTTCGATGAGATCTGTGTGAATGAGTATCCCTGCGCCTATGCTTGTCATGCTTTTTGGAATGCTTATGGCCTTTAGATCGCTTTTCATTTCCATAAAAGCTACTTTCAGGCATTTCCGGTGGACTGCGACGTCGACCAGCCATCAAATCTTTCCTCCAATCACCAACCGGCGATTTTCTACTGACAAAAACAAAAAAGAATGGTATTACGGTAATCAATATCAAACTGGAAAAATTTAAAGTGAATAAAGCAACTTCTTGAAAGACACTACACAATGCAAATAAAACTAAACAAGTAGCATACACTCCCCACGAGTTTAATACGATATGGAATGAATGAACTGTTCAAAATCTATGCCTTAATATAATGGTGAGCACAAAAGACTCACGGTTTTTGCTCCACTTTAGTACGCGATGTAGACCGACGATGACGATGGCGGGAATGTGAACGACGACGTTCTGTATGGGCTGGAGATCTATCAGATGAAACACGGTGGCGATGTCGACGATGGCGTGGTTCAGGTGAACGCGAGGAACTCGTTTCTTCTCGATGAGCAGATGAGCTGGTTATCTTATCCTACAATTTCATGATAATTTAAAGGTATCAATAATTGTTCGTAAACAAAGTCACTGTTATTAAAACTTTGTCTTTTAATGGAATGTGAAAACGTACCGTAAAACTATCAACCATAGTAGGTGGTAACAACAAAAAAAAACCTGTCAAATGCAGTATAAAATACCATTATGAAAGTTGCCACTACGAGAATACTTATCATCATGCCTCGCAACCCATCTGCCTATCTCGGCAAATAACATAACATGAAAAACAGCTTGATAGTTTACGATGGACTTGGAAGGTGTTTGCTAGAATCCTTTTGGCACTCAGGTCTAAGCTTTGACTTCAATCGTCACGTCACCTCACTATTTAGAACAGAAAATGTCAAACTTATGTCGATTCAATACGGTATATTTCAAAACATGACAGATGAAAAAATCAACAAGAAGGAAAAGGTAGCTGTACTAAAATAAGTAGCGATGAATAACTACAAGATGGTAACGAAGTAGGATGGAGAGAAATCAACTAAATAGAAATTAGGGTTATAATAGTGGAAGGTTAGTAGATGGCGAATGTATCGAAAAATAATTCTTAGAACTCCTTGAAATTCCTTCAAGAGGCAAAATGTTTCCCAAGTCCTTCAAGACTATCCAGTTGGCAGCTTTTCAGGGATTCGAAAGTCGTTGCTACTACTGAAGTTCGACCAACCAGGTGGCAAAATCAATCTTCATACAGCATGTGCAACTTACTGCCTAGTGTATAAAAGTTGTATCTACCGGGTGTTACAGCTACTTATATCCAAATAAATGGAAATCAACCTCGTAAATGTTCACCCACTAAGGGTACGAACTAAGCATTGTGTGAGTGCTCATGATACTGCAAATGAATAGCAAACGTATCCTTCTCCACAAATATCTCACTAAACATTGACTATTTTACCCCAGTTCCCATGACTGTTCTCAACAGTCGTCAACTGTTACCTACTATAACAGCCTTTTTTATTTCTTTGGCCAAGTCAAAACAGGCATAGCTGGATTTCAGCCCCAAACTCATTGGTTTAAAGCCCAATGATTAAGCTAATGAACAATCTTTTTGTATCTATCTCTGCTTATAATCGGTTCAGCCACCTTAGAGAGCCTACCATGTGACATAACTGATTCAACAATTCAGTAATTTACTTATTAAATTGGACTACTTCCATTCATATAGTTTGCAGTTGTACCCCCATCTTATCGCCAACCACATACACTCTGAAACATCGTAACAACAGTACACAACAATGCAACGTAAAGATAGCACCAAACACCTGAAAAATACCATTCGTCTTTATAAACACTAGCGAGTTTGCAACTGAAGGAAACGGAATACAGTGCTTCCGTTGTAAAGCAACTTAATGAAAAAAGTCAAGAATAGTAAAACAGGACTTACGAGTTTTTCATACTTCTCTCTAGCTGTACGTGCACGAGGGGATGGTGGGGATGAAGTACGTGAAGCAGAACGGTGATGACTAGAAGGAACTAGAAAAGAAAAGCATTTTTAGACTCTTTAGAAAACGAGAGAAACTAGTAACGCATTATAAGAATACGATCTATGGGTCATATCAAAGGATAGTAACTGCAACAAGTGGATTGGTGAATCCCTTCATAAAACAGTAATCCATATCTACTTGCTTTAGAGTTGGAAAGTACAAAAAAACTACCAATTAGTTTGCAAGCTAACTTAAGATTTTGGAATAATAAAAGTAATATAACCTATCACTGATACACACAAATACGCTGATCCGGAAAAAATTCAGATTAGTAAAGGAACAACTATTACATGTTTCAGAGCTTTCAGGTGCCCCACGAATACCTTGAAAACACCACTTTTGTATCAAAAGATTGAAATACTTAATGTACGAAGGGGACAAGTATTTAACCTATTACATTTCCAACAATCGCTGAAAAATTCAATAAAAGATGGTCATTTCAACGACTTTAAATGAATGTTTAACACAACTGTAATATGGATGGTATGCAGAAGAGTATTTGATATTAGACAGTAGGAAACGATCAGCTGGTAACCCTGAATCACAATTTTATAGTTGCTTTCACTCGTCAGTAAGATGTACTCTGCCACCTCGAGAGAACTGATACCTCTTCAGAGATCCAAACAGGAACAGCACTGAGAACTTAGTCGATAAGCATTGGTTACTCTTAAATCAGTACCTCTTGATTTATCAAAGCTTACTAGTACATACGACTGTTTTTCTATGATGAGAAAAACACAAAAACTGGGACACAACTAAACAACAATGTATGTTTATACAGTAGGCAAAGAACAATACATGTTGTAAGACGGTTTATGATACTACATGACTGCCTACACCTCTGTTGAAAGTCAAGCACGTACACTGAAGAGCCAGAGCTTCACAATAACACAATAAATGTAAATAACTCATGCATGACACTTGCTGTAAAAGTAGAAAGTAATTACAACCAGTGAAATATCAACTCAACTCATTAGATATATCGTTTCTGCACAAAATAAACAGATCACCTGCAAACAGGAAGAACCATATTGATGAAATTTCAAGAAACACTGTCAACCTCTATCTGGAAAAAGACTGTCTAGACAGTATTGAGGCATCAAAAATAATCGATTAATTAACTAATTGCTTATCTGCTTAGCGCTATTCGCATGTATCTCTGATAATGAGTCATCACTTCAACAGAGCAGAGTACTCAACTTATACAATGCATGATGAAATATACTTAAGCCGAACTATGCGACTCTTCGGTGGTAAGCGATCCGAAAAAGTTAGTGTTTAAACAATGTATTTTAAAAAGCTATTCGAGTATAGTGCATGAAATATTAAACTAGTTCGCTTCAACTACAAAAGCAAAGAACAATAGGTAGCAGGACTACATTCCATAGAAGCAGTGATCTGGTCGATTAGTTACATCTGAGAATGTAGAGCCTACATTTTATCCGTTGAAACTGAAGTCATAAATCAGTGTTCATATCTGACAGTATAGTTAACAGCTAAAATATTTACGTGTAATTTCAGAAAATAAGCACAGAAAGAAATATATACTAGCCATACCTTTGGTCTCGCCAACTTCTGACACCCCATTGTTTTTGACAGATGAAATACGCTGCTGGTTATCTGATTGTTCAGGATTCAAACTTGTTCGACCTGCACCTTTTTGATTTAAGTCATCTTCCCTTCGTCGCATTTCGTGTTCAACATGCTTTTCTTCCTCCTAACAAAAAGAATAAGATTAAGAAACTGGTTCAGTTACTCAAGTATCCGCAGACACGCAACAGAACGATAACTGTGTCGAAGTTGGTGCTGGCACGAAATATGTTGTGGCCTACACAGACGGTCTTCATTATCAGATCTGCAGCGAATCAATCCCCACAGGCCACCTGACTAGTTTCCTTTAGCACTACGATATCTGTCGATTGTATTCAGTAGCCTAGCGTACAGTAGGTAATGAGCCATACCTATTTTGTGTGTGTGTGTGTGTGGGGGGGGGGTATCATAATCCGTGGTTGCCCAAACCTCGGTAGATGGAGCAGTATTTGAACAGGTGACCCCTCACTTGGTTGAAATCTATCTACCTTAATTTATGGGCCACAGACGACTGCACTTTGTTAAGGCTACTCAACAAGGGTAGAAATCGTCCTTGATTGCATTTATAACATAATCAGAGATGATTAAATGAAGTCGTTTTCTGTGCTAGTTACTTCTTACTATAATCAAACCTATTAATCTAAAAGCATAAAAACGACTGTTAACAAGCATTCAGTCAACCAACACAACTTTACATTTATCAGTTAATGCGACAGTGAGTTCAGTCGCTGCTACAACATGATCATGGGATAAGCACAAGCTAAGTACAATTCTTGAGCTGACGGATAAAGAAATTATCCAAAGCTCTTTATGCGAATTTTGTATGCAGGTATCGGAAACAGCATATAACGTCATTATTGAAGCTTTACATAGTCCTAAATAAACCTATCTGCTACTTCATCTGCATCAAGGTCTGAATGTTAAAGGTGGTAAGCTAAAACGCTACATATGTATTAAAAATAACAGCAATGGAGTAACAATGAAAGAGATAATTCAGTAAAGTTTGTAAAACAGTCAGCTAGGTTGTTTGCAATAATATTTCATAAGCGTTCTGAAGTTTTTATTGTTAATGTTGATTTATGACGCAAAAGTGCTGCCGACTGCTAAAGCGTATGATAACAGAAAGACAAGCACTTCATCTAAGCTGCCTTTTCATCATGTAATGAGGCTAAACAAGTTTGGTATTACGGTCAGTATTACTAGCTAGCGTCCCATTGCGACAGGGGCACTACCCACTATTGTGTATCATATTTATCATTCCACTCATACCTACTAATAAGTATTTGATTTTTCTAAATGGCACTGGACAGATGCTCTTTAAAACTTTTGTGTAATGAACAAAGCACTGAATCGTTGAAGTCAAGACGTGCTACGGTTTTGAATTCTTTAATGAACTGTCACGATCTACAAATGAATCTTCACTAGGATCAACCGTAAGTAGAATCGAAAAGCATAGCTAATTGACTGACTAACAAAATCAACGTTGAACCTCGCCCATCGATCCAAGCTTCCACACTTCATAGTAGCATACAAAGAACAGGTAGATAGAGTGATAACAAAGTAGACAAAGAAGTGTCAGCGAACAAACAAATTGAAGATGACGGTTGATGCAAATACTCAAGCTCTAGAAGATGTCAAGGAGCGTATACATCTGTGCCACTGTGAACAATTTTCATCCATGTCACCAACAGTCCTCAATCACTGACTCATGTCGTCTCGCGGACCCCAACCAGGCACTCTACATAGCTCCACACGACTCAAACCAACAGTAAGAGGCTTCACCGACTAGTATCAGTTCTCAGTTTGCACACCTTGAACCCTTTTCTAACTTAACCCAACTGCCTCTGGCATGGCGCGGTAAGGTAGGCGGTGGCTCGGCATGCGCAGTACATGTCCAAACCATCTCAGTCGACTAAAATTCGCAACTTCACCAATCCACTTGTCTGTCTTGCTTAGTACACTTCACCTGACATCAAAATTGCTCACACACTAATCCCACCAAACACAAGCAATGCTACGAAGACATATGTGGTCAAAACCATGTAGTCGACTCATGTCTTCTACTTTTAACGACCATGTCTAACGGTCGTACAACAGGATAGAACGAACTGCAGAGTAGTATACTCGTCCTTTTGATCGATAGTAGGATATCTCCAGTCGGCGCAATACATGACTCAAGCTGACATATGACAAACGGACCTTCTGTATCCCAGCTGAGATTTCATCAGCAAGCATACCGTTCCAGCTGATGCAACTCAGCAAGTGAGTGAAGTGGTCGACACATTCCACCACGTCACTCCCTACCATTAAACTGAGTTTACTTACAGCAGGCCCATCCTCAAGCATCACCTTGCAATTGCCAGGTGCCAGTGAAATACATGTTAAACATACTCAGATTTCTGCTTGGTGTGCTTGGAAGACCCTGAATTTTGTGAGCGTCTTCACCTAGCAACACAATATTGTCCACATACTCTAAGTCAACCAAATGACTTCCAGGTATCGAGTAGATCAACCCCCATGGAGTCAGACGTACCTCAAGTTACATCCATTAGTACGTCTGTGACGAAGTTAAATAGGAACGGTGAAAGTGGACATCCCTGGTGGACACCATTAGTTGTCGTCCATTCACATGACAACTCTCCATAAGCCCTTAGCGTTATATACTTACTCGTTACTGTCTTCACAGTCGGACACTGCTACAGCACCTCACAGTTGAATGCTGTCTTCAAGTCAACAAATATGCCAAGTGATGGTCGTTGGTCGGTGAGTATACCTGTGTTCCAGAATCTGTCGATGCACGCTCGTCTAGGTCTGCCTGAAGCCTGTCTGATTTTCTCGAACTTCTTATAAACTGGGATGATCAGCACTGCCTCTGATTCCCATACACTACGCCGTACCTCCGTCAGCAGTTCCCTCCATCTTTGAGAACTTCAGGTGACAAACTATCAGGTTCTGGTTGTTTGCACTACTTCAGGTTCGATATAGTTTTCTCAACTTCAAGAAGTGTTAGATGACTGACATCTACATCCCATTCAGGTTCAGGCCGGATGTTGGGTAACTGAAGCCTTACTAAGGACTGGCTGAAGTGGGCTTCGAAGTGTTGTACCCAACGCTGTAGTCACCTGTGCTGAAAGATTATCAGCGTTCCACTCATTTTCGATGACGGTCTCACTCACCATCGACTTTTTCTTGTCGATACAATTGATAAGCCTATTAAGTTATCGAGTGTTAACATGGCCTGATCCCTTCTCCACCTATCTCACTTTCGTCACCCACCACCGCTCACAATCGTTTCAAAAACTCTAGGCCAAATTACGTTTGCTTTGATTTCGCTCTTCATCGTGGTCAGATCCAGCTGGAATCAATCTTCTCGCATCAATCAGTTTGGTTGACGTCGCGTTAATCCAATGACTTTTGTGAAGCTTCGGGTGTAGGTTACAGATTGCCTTCACTGCTGTTTCTACAGCAGACTTAACATCACACCACGTTTCCTCAGGACGAGAATTGCTTTCATGTTTGGATAAATCCTTAGCTAACTCCTCTGTAAATGTGTACTTGGCATCTTCATCTACCAATCGAGGACAGATGGGCCACTATGCCACCTGTTTACTGTGGCTAATAAGGCGCAGACATACATGAGCCCGTACTAGCACGTGATCGGAGTCCATATTGGTACTCCACAGATCCTATCCAACGATGGATTATGGCAATATGATCTATCTGTGTTCATCGTTGTTTTGTAGTTGGTGAACGCCATATGAGACAGTGTCTCTCCTTATGCCTAAAGTTGGTCCTGGCCAGAAACGAGTGATTGTCAGAACCAAATTGCAACATACAATCACCGCTGTCGGTTCGTTGACATGGGATTCCATAGATACCTCCACGATGCCTCTATGATTACCTCAGCTTCCCCTCTTGAACGTTGAAGTCACTTGCAGTTACGACTAAGTCTGAACGTTTTCTTTTCTGTAGCAAGGTTGACAGGTTTTCATACAACTCCTTTGCATCACCCGAACTGCGGTCGAAGGGTGTGTGGGTAGAGATTATGAACAGGCATCGATTGGTCTAACGATCCCTCCTAGTCGTTACACGTCCAAGAGCTAGCCAATGGGTCTCCGAATACTCTTAGAGTGAATTTTGAAGATTCACTACTATGGTCAGGTAAGATCAACTTACTAGCCACACTCAGATGCTGTATACGTGTCTCAGAGATACAGCATACATCCATGGCTGGAGATTCTGGAGTTTTGACGCATAGTGCCTGCTGTCCGTTTTGGCATAGAGTTCGGATGGTAAGAGTTTCTATATGAAATCGGTGGTGGGGTCTTAGTAGACTAGGAATGCTGTCTCGATAGCTTTGATCGTTCTCAATGGTCGCAGAATAAGAGGCTAAGGAAGGTGTAAGAGGCTTAGTATTAGAATTGGAGGTGAAGGTAAAGGAGGAGACAGAGTTGAGGAGGGTAGGTTATGTTCGATTCTGTCTTAAATGCTTCTGGAAGCATGCAGGCGGTTGAGACTTTGTGGCTGCCCACACCCTGGAAGGCTACTCCCGAATGTATCTGAAAAAGATTTATGTGACCACAGAGCCCATGGGACATTTTCTCGAAGCCTTGTAACGCAGCCTTATGAGGGTTGTTTTCAGATTTGGTTGTTCTGACGCTTGGTGGAAAACCCATACCCCCGGCATCGAAGGAGGGACGTTTTGTAACCCCTACTTTCCGTAGGAAAGGCAGCACCAGCACAGCACTACTGGATATCCATGGGGAACGGCTTACTGCTGTCACTCCCCACTCAGCTAGCAACATTACGACATCGCCCTCAGACAACCCCCATCACAGTGTGGTAATTTATACTACAATGCCAACTGCTCTTCATCTTACCACTATCCAACAGATCTTTCTGGCATGGTAGGACCTTAAGGGAACAAATGTCCAACCAGTATGGCTCATTGTAATATGCAAGTCTGACCACCACGTCAAGGTAGCGGCTATCGCTTGGAGAAAATCACAGGTAGGTAGGACATTCATACCCATTTATACTGTTTCATCCTTTCTCGGTCAACTTTTAATGCTTAATGTATAAGATTTTTGTAAGACACTATTCAGGATGATCTGGAAATGAATAAGAAACTGGCAATGAAATATCCGAATACACCTAGTTGGTGGGTTTGTTATATATGTTGAAGAAAACTATTACCTGACGTTTTGCAATCTCCTCTTTTTTCGCCTCAAGGAAAGCTGCTGGGACGCCATCCGGTGTCTGCATAGCTGATAACAACAGATCCCACAGTTCCGACAAAATATTCTGGCATTTTTGCCATTCAGAAATCCTGTTATATTAATCTGGATTTCCTTAGGATCCGGATGCTAGAAGAAACAGAAGATAACATGTAAGTTGGGAAAGCAAGCAGCATGTTAAGTGAATATAATAGGAATCAAGTATTAAATAAATAATTCTTCAGACAAGCTTAAAAGTGTACCGGCAGCGCACTCAGTGCGTCGCAGGAGACCTGAGTTCCACCGTTGTTTGCGATGAACATCCCAAAAGACCTGAAAATTTAATCGAAATCAACTTTAAAATTGGAAAACGAAAATTTAATATAAGTGAATGTTTAAAAATGGAATTAAAGCTAACAAAGTAAATGGTGACAACTAATAAATATTTAGTGATTCAAAACAAACTTTCTACATCATTTCTTAACTCATAAGTTACGGTAAATTTCTGCGCAAAAATTAAGCTACTGTAAATTTTGCATGAGACGAGAGTTCTTCACAAAAGACATACCTGTGCATGACACTAGAATTTTAAGAGAACCATATTCGGAAAATATCTTGATTCTAAATCAAATCCACTCAAAATGCTAAGATTAACTTTTGTGCAGTAAGTAGACAATAGAAGAAACCAGTGCAAAAATACTGGTCACAGAATATTAGATGATGGAATAAGCAGTCTTAGGGAGAAGAAATAATTTTATACAGTGGAATTCGTGCTTATTTTTAAACAGGTGTAGTTTTACGAATGCCTATATTTTATTTAGACGTGAAAACATCGGAAGCTACCTGAGTGACACTCGGGAATTGAACAACGAAAACATCAATCACATGAACAAGAGTTGAATAGTTTTCACGAGGGCATGATAACAACCATATCTTACCTAACACCGATTTATTTTTTGTGGTGGTGAACCCGTCATTATGTCTATGCATATAAAGCTTCTAAAACTGTTGTTAGGATCGTCGTCTCTGCGTCCAATTATGCTGGAGTTAAATACAGCAATAACAGAGTGACTGGCATAGAAGACTCCTGTTCTTCAACCCACATAATTAGCTTTACTTCCATGACTAACTGGTTCATACATATGCTCCTTAAGGCAGAAAGTGCAATGCTAGGCTTGAACCCGGCTGATAGGCACCTGTGTTATTCGACTGAGTAGTGCGATAAGGACAAAAAAGAGTTCGGAAACCCTCTGTTGTCTCTTTGACATCTCTCCTTCCCTACTGACTGGATTTCTGATAGAGAGAAAGATGAGCCCCACCGAAAGCTATCTAGCCTTCTACTTAAAGTCAAACGCTCAAATTTGGTCGTTGCAGCAAGTGGTTTCAATGCACAAATGAGTAGGCTGTCATATGGAAAGACAGATCGCACTTTCAGAATTATCGATCAACCAACAAATGACGGCGATCGACTGCTGCAGATGTGCTCAGATAACTATGTATTTCTGGTCAGTATGAACTCCAGGCATAAAGATGGACATAGTCCGGTGTGGCGTTCACCAAGCTCAAATGAACAGTGGACACAAAGAACATGTTGCTATCAGTTATCGCTGGACGGTTGGTAAACTATTGCCACTCCTTACGTAGCACATGTTTGGATAGCAATTGCGCGGTTGTTCAAGCACGCCAACATCTACAGTTTAATAAACTTAAAAGACAGCAGCTAAATGGCCATTCCAATAGCAGCCCGACGATGAGAATTCGAAGGTTGCTTTCAATAAGGTACTGGTTAGACAATTATTGGAACATTTTGGTGGTGTTCTCTGCGATGGATGGTTATTGGAACAGGATGTCATTCATCCAGAAGCCTGATGACATCTCAAATCTGCTGCTAAAGCAGCGTTAAAAGTTGTGACGAGCAAGAAGTTAGAAAGGGTCTAAGAATACCGGAAGCTTCTTCTGAACCAATGTATAAATGTTAACGTTTTCCTGCAGGTTACGATAAAAGTGATGAACGCAAACAACTTAAACATAGATTGACAAAGAGTCTAAGCAGTGACTGCGAGCAGTGGAGGGTAGCGAAGGTAGAGATAGGTAACAGGTAGTCATTTGGACCTATCAAAGGACAAAAAGGTCAATGGTTAATGACTACTGAAGAGGTTAAGTCTAATATCTATTCGCTGGGGAAACGACTGGAACGACAGACATGACGCTTTAGGGGGTAGTTTGAATGGTCACCCGTTACCATCTCATCGCCTCCTATCCCGTTGGATTTTGAATAGAACACTAACAGAACCAACACATGCAGAAGTCGAGAGAATTGTAAGCAACCTAAAATGAGAAAGCATCGCAGTCAGATAGGCTAGTATCAAGGTACTTAAGGACGACCGCCGTGAATTGTGTTTGGTCAACCAGTATGAGCTAGCGTATAGAAGTCATATGATCCTTTCTGACGGGTTTCTATCACTGTTCTAGTCTTCAAAAAAGGAGATAAATCCCTTTATGATAACCGTAGGGAAACAGTATGGCCGACATAGAGTCAAAGATTCTAGGCTGTACAATTACCAGACGTCTACGTTAAACTCCGAAACGACGAACCGAAGGAAACCAGGCAGGTCCCAGACGATATCGTGGATGTAGCAACTGGATATTTACTCTCCAGATTTTGGAACACTTGCCAGCACCCAACACTAGCTGCATTTCTTGATCTAAGTGCATCATTTGACGTTTAATAGTCCCGCATCTCACTGAAAAGGGTGTTGAGTGAATACAATTACCCTGTTAAATGCTTTGTATTCGGGCAATCGTGAATGTCAGGACTTGTTGTGAGGTAGTAGATGAAATGTGTCGTCAAGTGTTGTTCATCAGGAATGTTCACGCTTACCATCCTTATTTTTGTCAAACTTGTGAAGGACTTCTCGACATCTGACCTTACAGGGACTGACCTAATCACAGGAGATTCCTCAGTAGATGAAGTGTGTACAGATGGCGTAGGTTCGTCAGATGGTCGTAACAAGATGGTCTTTTGGATACATTTAGCGGAAATTAGAGAATATCCAAGATGTTTTTCACCATCCAAACGCAAGCTTTCGCTGCAGCGCCGTTGCTTTTGCAAGGTAGGCATTTTGTGGTGGTCCAGCCACCTCAGTAACGTGGATGTCGGGCGTAGTTTTGGGTAGATAAATTAAGTCGGTTGATGTGGTTGTGAATCTTCATCAACTCGTATGACTGGGTTGTTTCAGATGCTCTGTTAATATCTAACCAGTCATAAAATGTCACATAATGCAGGTTTCAGCTGGAGGTGGCCAAACTACAACACAGTACACTTTCACGAAGTTTTGACTACTGTTCTTAGCCATGGGGAGAAATGGAAGCTTCCTAAAACCTGTGACTTGTAATTACGCGATATGGGTCTGAACAGATGCGTTCAAACATAACTTTAATCATCATATTGAATTCTATCATTTATCCATTTCTTTTCGTCTTTTTTTTACGACTTTCTACTTCTAAACACATTTTCGCCAATTCTCTGTTTCGATGTCTTCTACCTTGACATGTTGGTATTAGATGCGGAGACTTGTAGCATTACGCAATAGTGTTAGGTCGCGAAGTGATGCTCAACTGACCTAACATTACTGGACCTTACCGTATCTACATTTGCAGGTTCTGCAGAGATTCACATTCTAAAAGTGCTTACTACGAGTATGTCCAAAGTTATTTGTAGCCATTAATTACCATTCGAGTTTACAGAAGGAAGACACATTTTAATAGCACTTAGTCTTAAAATGATACTCATCATACTACTAAATTAGCCAGAGGCAAAGTTGGCACATGACTGGGGAATACTAAGAAAGGTGGTGGTAAAATGTTTGCAGTACTTAACAGACATTTACTCGTCATTCTGATCGAGGATATGAATGGTGGATATCATTTGCTATTCATGACCCCTTAAGATATCTCAGCATGACAGATGTTTAGCGTTACAGATGGTCGTTGTGTTTGGCGGCGAACCAATGAAACCAAAAGCTGATAAATATTATATACAACCAATGATGCTAGTAACCGAATCATCTACCAAAATTGGATGGGATAGCAGACTAATAAATTCTGGAAGACCTGTGAGCGAACTCATAATGTCGGCAGTCAACCCTACAAATGACATCGACGAAACGTTTGTAAAATAGTGTATCATTGCTCCACCTTAACTATGGCTAACACGAAAATTCCAAATGTGGAGCTAACTTATAACTGAGGAAAGTAATACCATCTACATCAAACGGACTAATTTAACCCTAAGCCTATGCTTCAGTGCGAAACAGAGATAGAAATAACTCACGCGCTCCTCCAACTGGTTGAAAACATAATCGCAAACGACCTCATCCTCAAAGTTGAGAAGTTCAGTTATACGCTTCACAATCCAAGGTCTGATAGACTCCAAATTAATCCTCGTCATGTCAACCTTAAAAATAATTCAGAAATAAATATAATACCTTTTGAGCTAGGTTTTCGCCAAACTTCATCGTTTTCATTAGCTTTTTCTTTTTGTCCGCAAACCTGGCATCTTGTTCAGCACTTGTTCCCTATACGCGTTGGCAAATAAAAACCAATCGGCAAAACAAACTTTAAAGAACCCCGCATCAGTCATAGTTGGTACGCCAAGAGGAACAAAATGTGCAACGTCCCTGGCAGGAGGAATAAACAAAGTTCTTATTCTCAAGAGTGAAGAATGAAAGTATTCGTCATCGTACTAGTTTCAAATTAAGATTTTCTTTCTGGAAACAGGGAGCTGTAGACGTATGCTAATCAATCTTTAACGAGTGGCTATCTTCCAAACGTTTTCGTTTTCGTGCAACAGCTTCCATTTGGACACCACCCTTTTGGTTGAGTCTGATCATAACCATGTACGAGGAGGTGAACATATCACTAATAACCCCCTTCAAATACCGTGGCTACTGCCCAAAGCGTCTGTGAAGTCTCAGGTCTCAAAGTATTAAGTTAGCGAGACTTCAAGATTGTCAAGAGTTAGAACTGATAATAAAAGAATCGTGCCAATGTAATGCATGTTACTATCAGTGAGTTCTCTTCCACCAGATAAACATTTAGCCCGTGTTGAAAAGCGCCAACCGCTTGTCTGATTACGTAGATGGAGTGTTGAGGTTTGTCTGAAATGTGTTGCACCATTATCATCCCTTAATTCTAACCAGATTTCTACATTATTAACGTACAGAATAATGGTGGTCTCTCAAGACGTAATAATCCATCAGTATGCGGCATGAACAGCAAAAGATCTAAAACCGTGTTTTTTAGGGTTTAATTATGTACTTATTCTAAGGATGAAGGTTGAGAGCTGATCCTCACTTGCTGCTTCACATCAATGAGGAATCTCTTTGATGCATATGCCCTGATTGCCGGTGATCGAAACAGACCCGGGCTGCATAGGTAACAACCACGAGTACACCTTGTTCATAGCCTCTCTAACATCTGTGGAAATAGTATCGAAAGACTCCTTGTTATCGTAAGACTGTCCAGTTTTCTTTTGCTATGAGAAGCTTTGTCAACTGGTGGAATCATTCGAGAAAGCTATGCTTTAAGTTGTACTTAAGGGCTTTGCTGATGAACGGCAGCGGCGTTCCCGACAACAATTTCTTGGCTATGCTTTCTAGAACCTTAACTGAAAAGCAAACTAGGCTTATCGTTTCAGCATTTCATAGGTGTTCCTTTGGAACCTCCCTTGTAGGTTGGCAAGGCTAAATCACCCTTCCAGTCATACTGTGGTATGCCTTGATCAAGAGCCAGTTAAAATGTGGTATTCATTGATTTAGTTATTTGATCTGCAGTCTCTCTGAACGGCTTCGAGTGATTCTCACTCAGCCCCGCTAGTTTAGTATTTCCTAAGTACTTGAACTTTTCAATATCGTTGGAGTTGGCACTCACAGAGCCTCATCTAAGCGATGCCAGTGCTCCCCAGCAGTGACCACAGCAATATTTCCTCACCGTTTTCGAGGGGGCTGGATGTCTTCAAATTGTTAATAAAGGCTGAGAAAACGAGGTACTTTTTCCCACAGTTCATATAGTAGGGAGTCCGTTTAACTGCAACCTGGGTGAGATGTGATTTGAAGTATGCTTCAAATAGTTTGAACACAGTATTAAGCCTATTGTTAGCTTCAGCGGAGCGCTCGTTTACTTCAGAGTAACCGGGGTAAATGGGAAGACTCCAGCAACTTCCCTTCATGGCATATTAAGTAAGTTACACCCATGGGCGTCCAAGAAACACATCTGAGTCGATTTATGAGTACCGGTGCCCTATGAGGCAAGGTACCTTTCTAAATGAGAAATGCAGATATGTTTCGCGGGCGTACATAAAAGAAATGGTGACTTCGCGCTGTCCCCTAGGGGCCGTATAAGTTTCAGATAGCTGGTGGATTCTAATACAGTGGATCCAGACACTCGTATGCTGCAGCTCTGCTACACTCCGCGAGTGGTCAGGTGTTGGCAAGATGTGTAGGGGGTCGTCGGATTTGTTCCGGAAGTATGGTGTGGATGAGTTCCTCAAGCACTATGTCTCCAAATGCTATTTCCAATCGGTCGTAAACGAAAAAGAGAATGAAAATGTCAGTAAAGAAAACTTGGGAGGGAGAGTGAGGAAAACAGGGAGGAAAAGGAAAACGAAGAAGGGAAAAATTCGGAGAGGATAGAAAGGGAACCGGTGATGGCGGACCTGCCTGAACAGGGTGAAGTCGTGGACGGTGAGAGGGAGGGAAATGAGTGTGGAGGATCATAGCATAGACAATGGAAGCAGGAATGGTAAAAGGTCTGAGCGGTGATGTGGTCGAATTTCGTGGTAATAGTGGCAGCGGAATAAAACCGTTCGTAACGCAACAAATGATTTAAAAATCTCTCCTGGGCATTCTGTTTGACAGTGTTGAAATTTATCTGAATACTTTCGCCATCTTTGTAGATATTATCCTTTACCCTTGACCGGTGTGGTATTATTTTGCCATTTGCCCCACTTCTTCGACTTGACACTCATTATTTGTCTTTATTTTGACTGAAACATGTCCCAAGTGCTCTATTTTTCTGCTCTGTGATGTCGGATTGTTGGCCATATGTTGTTGTCTTACTGGTCCCGACATTTTATTCGGCTGAACTTAATGCTGCACTGCTAGGTGACCGCTCACCTTTCAACCATCTGCCGGAAACATTTGTTCACTGATTTGATGCCTGCAGTCAGATTTTTAGCCCAATTTTGTTGAGAATATTCTTGTTTGCTCTCATCTGCTTGGCAGTTATATTCAGCTAGCTATTCTGTGCCGGAGGACTCTTCGGACTACGTGGTTGCTCAGAGGCATTGCTGATTTACATGGCTAACTAGTTCAATAGGTATCAGCCCGTCCTAAGCCCGGGTAAAGAGGGAAAGTTGGGCATACGGCTAGCAACCCTACCCCGTAAAACCAATCCAATCGCTAAAGAAACTCCAAAGCACAAACAAAACAGGAAAAATAAAAATAAGCTTATTCCTCGCTGGAATCGGGTGGAGAAAACGATGCCGGTTGCTGAAAGCCTTCTTGAAAGCCAATCGGCCGATATATCTTCTATCGTTGAAGGCAAAATTGAGAATGAGGACATTGAATATCCGCACAATGTTTGAACCTGGCAAGGCTGCCCAGATTGCCAAAGAGATGAGGCGGTATGGCATGGAAGTGGTAGGAATCTGCGAAAGCAGATGGAATGGAAGTGGACCCTCTCGACTGTCAACTGGAGAGCCAATAATCTACTCCGATACTGTCACCCAAACGACAACCACAGCACAGCATACTGAGTTTTGAAGTGGCTATCGTGATGTCCCCAGGAGCATCGAAGGCCCTCATGCAGTGGGAACCAATCTCCTCCCCAGGATCAGGATCGTGACAGCAAGATTCAACTCAAAAGGAAGGAAAGTTACAATCATATTATGCTACACTACGCACCTACAAATAATGCAGATGAAGAGAAGAAGGAGGAGTTCTACAGACAACCGTAATCAGTAATCGACAAGACCCAACTCCAGTTGGTGACATCAAAATTCGAATGGGCGGGTGACACGAATGCCAAAGTGGGAGCGGACAACACAGGAAGAGAACTAACCATGGGTCGAGAAGCACTTGGTGAAATGAATGGGAATGGAGAATTGTTTGCAGAATTCTGTGCATTCAACGACTTGGTGATTGGAGTCAGGCACTGTGTTGAAGCACAAGGATGTTCACAAAGCGACATGGATTTGATTTCACCAGATACCAGGACACACTAAAAATAGATCAACTTCATCTCAATGTGAGGAAGGCTGAGACGCAGCCTAGTGGACACAAGGTCAAGAAGGGGAGCAGATGTAGGTTCAGGCTACTATCCAGTGCAAGGAGCCTTCAAAGTCAAGTTGAAAGCCTTCAAGGAAGCTGGTGACAGACCACAGTTCGAGTACAATACTCGGAAACTGAAGGGCGACATGTTCACGTCAGCCATCAGGAAAAAATGGGGGACATTGAGCGACGTCCCCGAAGAAACCTGGGTGGAGGAACACCGGAACTCTTTGAAAGCTATGTGGAAGGAAACTCACACAACCTTATTGGGACGGAAGAAGATAGGAGATAAGGAATGGAATGGATCTCGATGGACACATGGAGGGTGATAGAGGAGGAAAAGGAAGATGGTGAAGCAGCAGATGAACCATTTCAGTGCAGTGCATGGATGAACAACGAGAAAAGGAACTGAATACAACATATAAAACACTACAATAGACAAAGAAGCGAAGAAGAGTGCACGGAAAGACAGGAGATACTTCTACGACGCGCAAACAAGGCAGAACAGGCTGCTGACAGGAGACATGACGACACCATATCAAATAACCAGGTTACTACCTGGGAAGGAAGAGATTAACACACATGAAACTGGTTAAAGTCGTTGGCCAGGAAACAGGATAAATGCAGGTCCAAGCTAAGTCGATTAGTTCCCGGGTTTCGAATTTTCTTCTGCAGCCATCTGAGACGGCCAATCCTAGCAAGGAAGAAAAGATAGGATATATCAGCATCGAATTTGTCTCCATTATTTATTATTATTTGTCCCCTAGGTTCCTAGCGGAACATGGAGCTTAGGTAGTGCGTCACCATTTCACTCTATTCTCTGCAGTCTTTCCAACCTGACTCCTCCGCTGCCCAGAAGCTTTCACTTCTTCCTTACACGATCTCCTCCATGTCACACTTGCCTTGAACGACCAGCTCGTCGTTTCTCCTTCGGGTTCCAATCGAGGGTCTGTCCTGGTGCGTGATGCCGCGAACCGTCTTCTCAGTGTGTGTCCAATCCAATCCACCTGCACTTTCTTCTGCACATTTGTTGGGTGATGGGTTCTTGGTTGGTTGGTTCGTTGCCAGCCAGTTGGGGTTCCTTGTTACTTAATCCTATTAATCCGGCCATATGATCCTCAGTACCAGGTGAGCATGGACGGCAGCCGTTGATTTGACTTGATAATATATTTTGAACAGTGATGTGTGTCTGTTGTTTGTTGGAAATGCTTTTCGTGACGCCCCAAGTCTCTCAACCATCACATAGAAGCACTGACTAAGCTGGATTAGTGTTAAAAAACACGGATCTTATTCTTGATGCTGGGTGCAGTAG